GCCTTCGCAAGCGGAAGAGCCAGATCCTCCGCGTGCGGAGGTGGAGTGCCTCTGCCTGCAGAGGAATGGTTCCTCCGCGTGTGCGGAGGTGGCTTGCCTCCGCACACGGAGGACAACCAATTCTTCCACCCTCCCTGACCAAATTACCCTAAGAAATCGCAGTGTCTTTTTCTTTGAACAATGAGTTGCTCATCTCTTTTTTCTCTCAAAACTCCACTCTTTCCCTCCGATGCCGTCAACCGCTCTATCAATCTCCGGCCCAATAGTTATTTTGTGACGAGGGCATCCCTCAACTTGGACGTGCATTCCGATTCGAAACCTTTACTTAATGAGAACCCAAAGAAGAGTTCACAAGTAATCGCCGACGAGAAAAAATTTGTGGTGGGCTCCTATACAAGGGCGCCGGTGGTGTTGGCCAGTGGAAAGGGCTGTAAAGTGTACGATGTTGATGGGCAAGAATATCTGGACTTGACTTCTGGTATTGCCGTCAATGCCCTCCGCCATGAGGACCCCGGTTGGGTGCGGGCAGTTACAGAGCAAGCCCAGCCTTCCTTCAGCTAATGGTCGCGCCGATGATGTCTTCTAGCCTTCAGAAACCATTGGAGCTTCGACTCGGCGACCAATATGAGCTGAGCCGGCACGCCGGACATCTCCTCAAGCTGCTTCAAAGCTTGCATATTCACCGCCAATCTGTTGCCACAAAATCTCAAGCCGAGCCACATCGAAGCCGCTAGGCACACCCGGAAGGGCAATTTATCCAAACACGCCGTCAAAGCATCACAGGCCACCCGTACGGCGTCGTTGGTACAAAGTCCAAGTTTTCCAGACCAATTTACAAAAACGCCCTCCGTTTTCCTATCCACCTTTGACGGAGATTTTGATCTAAAGGAATTCATTTCTCTTTGATTCTTCGTAGATTTTCCCGACATGAACTCACATGAACTGTCATTGACCGGCGTCGTAGAGTCAAACCCATAGGTTTTCCAGCGATCGGAATATGCTTTCTTCAGAGTAGTGGTGCTTGAAACACAAATCGAAGAACTTGAAGACGACTGATTATCGGAATCCGAGTCGATTCCGGCCGACAGAGACCAGCAGGAAGAGAAAAAAGCCATAAAGCCGACACTTTTGATTGGCTTGACTTCCATTCCTCCGCACGCGGAGGCACCAAGTGGAGGACAGCCAGTTATTGTTTTAAATTTAATTAGCCAGTGTTATAATATTGATTTTTGTCTTAATCTTGGGGATTATTTGATAAAATTAAGACAAT